GAGGGGGGAGATCAGCATGGAGGAAGGCACTTGTGGGGATGAGCACTGGGTGTTATATGGAAACCAACTTGACAATAAACTATTTGTAAAAAAACAAAAAAAAGAACACAGACTTGGGAACCAGACTACCTTGGTCTGAACCTGGATTCCACTTATCAACTGTAAAAGCTTGGGCAAGTTACTTATGCTCTCTGTGCCTCGGTTTCCTCAACTGCTTATTTAAAGATTAAATGTCTAATATTCATAAAATCTTTGGGACAGTGGGTAGAGTGTATAGCTATTATGTAATGTTTGTTAAATAAATTATCTACTGACCATCGTGGTGCTTCCTCACCCCAGGGTACGGTGAGAGTATGGCAACGAGTCTGGGAGCTGGAAGTTCTGCTTAAGTGTTTAAGTGAGAAGTTCCTAGCCCAGATGAGTGAGACTGGGCATGGGGGGCTCCTGGTGTTCTCTTGGTACTCTCAAATCCCCTCTGATCTCCAGACAAACAGATCCTGAACCATCTCACATGGACACAGGCCACATCCCAGCCATGAGATCTTGTGCTAAGTGTGCAACAGTTCCCAGGCTCTGTGCTGTGGCCTATATACCAAAGAAAGGGCTTATATCAAAGGAGTTAAATTTGTTCCCACTGGAGATATAATGCAATTTCCTCCCTGAAATCTTGGCTCTCCATGCTTCCCTCACTCCACCCTCAACAAATGTTCAGGATATGAAATTGCTGAGACATCGCTGCTTCCTACTTCCCTTTGTTATCTTAGTTCCCTTATTTTGAGAAATACTTTGCCTTGAAGGTCATTTCTCAACACCACCTCAGCCCAGGACCTTCAGAAGTCCCAACCAGGTCAGTAATCCTGCAGCAGCTCCCCCCACCCAGGAGGATGAAAGTCTCCATGGCTGCCATCTTTCTCTTCCTCCTCTTCCTCATCACCGGCGTCCTGGTGTCCACGGCTGAATCCTCCTCACGTGAGTGCAATACTTTGTTTTCCTTCCATCCTGGCCCCTGTGGGTAAAGAAGCAGGAGTAAGGTTGCTGGGGAGACAATGGGGAGGGGCCTTAGAAGGAGATCTGGCGTCTTCCGAAACTGCTTTTGCTCTCAGCCTCCCGGGACTAGACACCCTTCCTCCAAGGCCATGGAGTAAGCCTGCCTGTCCACTCCCTCAGTCCATCTCACTTTGCCATTAAGTAAGAGTAGCCCACCCCCATTTGGGGGACATTATCCCCCGGGAGACAGAGGAACCATTTTTCTGCTTGCCCCCTGAGATTGGGGCCACCAGCTTCCAGGGTCAGCCCTACTCCACTAGTGTGGCCTTGCTTAGGTGTGGGTTGAGGGCGACCACAACAGTGGGGGTCCCACCTCGGCCACCCTTTTCCAGCTTATTTCTTAGGATGAGCTACCTTTACACACAACCAAAACCATGCCTCACCCTTTAATTTTACCTCAGTTCCTTCTGAGAAACTAGGAGGAAACATAAGGGGCTGTCTAAAGTTAATGGGAATCTGAGGGCGCCTAGGTGGCTCAGTCGGTAAAATGTCCAACTTCGGCTCAGGTCATGATTTCACGGTTTGTGGGTTTGAGCCCCGCGTAGAGCTCTGTGCTGGCAGCTCAGATCCTGGAGCCTGCTTCAGATTCTGTATCTCCCTCTCTCTCTGACCCTCCCCTGCTCGTGCTGTTCCTCTCTCTCTCTCTCTCTCTCTTTCTCAGAAATAAGTAAAACATTTAAAAAATTTTTTAAAATGAAGTTAATGGGAATCAGGACAGTTTGACTTGCCTCTCTGAGAAGATGTGTGGAGCTCAGAGGAATAGGATGGGAGTGGTCTCAGGGAGGAGTGGACTCATCATTATTTGGAGAGGGAGGATGCTACCTGGAATGGTACTGGGTAAAAAGACCAGGCTGCTCCCTTCCCACCCAAGCATCTGGCTGTCCCCTACCCCCGCAATCTCAGAGGCCATTACCAGCACATGTGCAGTTCTGCCCAGGCTGGTCATATAACATGCACCCACTCAACACTCCACTCCATGACCGCAGTGCCTTCTTGTTTATCCAGGGCCCTCCTTCCTGCTACCTCCATATTGAAGCCTGATGGAATGTATTATTTCCACTGTCACCCTCTTGCACCTCCTATAAGAGCCATGAAATTTTAGAAATCAGAAAGTAACTGAAAAATTCACCTAATCCAGTGATGTCTAACATATTTTAGACCAGAGAACCTCTCTTCCAACAAGAGCTTACTCGGACACCTAATATGTAAAACAAAACAAAACAAAACAAAACAAAACAAAAGCTGGTGGGGAGAGGCGAAGGGATACTATCCTCAAAACTCTACTTCCAAATGCATCATTACCTCTGAAATAGTCCCCGAGGCCCCCAGACTGCCAGAAACTCAGGGTAAAAACCACCAATCCAGTCCAGCAGCCTCCCTGACAGAGAACGAAACAAAGAGGGAAATAAAGTTACCATGGACACGCAGCCAGCAAAGTCAAGGGAGGTTGGGACCTGGGCGTCCTGACACCCTTTGTGTCCTTCGGCCTTGGTGTTGGTTTCCTTCTTTGCAGGACAGGGGTTTCATTGGGACACAGGCAGAATGCAAGGATTGGGAAGGGCTGGATCTGCTCTCCTAGCTGGCATGTGTGCCTGTCCCTATTGTCATTTCTTCCAAATATACTTCCTCTCTGGAACACCTGTGCAAGCCTGCCCCACAGGGAGAGTGTGTATTCACTGAGAAGATTTGGGCTCTGCTAATCTTCAATCCAGAGTTAAAGGTCATCAGCCAGTCTTTCTAGAAGAGGTTGAAGAAGGGGAAGGGGGGTGATTGCAGATACAGGAGGGAAAGAGCAGCCAGAGGACCAAGTCTCTGCACAACCCTCCTTCCGAATTCTGTGGGGCCACCTCCTCCTCCTCCCTTCCCTCTTCTACCCTCGGCAGTGCAGAAGCAGCCAGCAGCTCTGGCCCTTAGCAGAGGGTCCAGTGTCTGCTTCCCTCCCTGCTCTCTCCTCAGGAGGGCCTTACCACCCGGCTGAGTGCTGCTTCAGCTACATTGTCCAGGCAATCCCGCGTCACCGGATCACAGATTATTATGAGACCAGCAGCCAGTGCTCCAAGCCCGGTGTCATGTAAGTGGCACCCACACACTATATACTGGGGGATAGGGAGCCTGCCAGCCCTGGGGAGTAAGGAGGGTCTGGAGTGGGGACTCCCTGGAACACCTCTCAGGTGCAGTGATAGGTGGTGGAGGGGCAACCTGGAGGCTTTCTGGCCTGGCTGAGCCAGCAGGGAACCAGGAGGAAGCTGACCCCATGCATGGAGAGGCATCAGGGGAGGGGAAGGGAAGGCAGGAGTGCACTTCCAGGGACAGAGGAAGCACAGAGGCTAGATGGGTCCAGGAGCCCCTAGGGTCTGGAGAACATGTCTCAGGGAAGAGATTGGCCTTAAGCTGCCTCTGACAAAGGAAGGAGAAACAGCCTAGGTGGGTGAAGAATCTGTTTGGGAGGCTGACTGGCTTTCACTTCACTGTTGAACTCCTCAGTCTGTAACTCTTCTCCCTTTCACTCCACAGCTTCATCACCAAAAAGGGCCATTTCATATGTGCTAACCCCAGTGACACCTGGGTCCAGGACTACATCAAGGACCTGGAGGAGAAATGAGCTGTTCATCTGAAGGAGAAGAGGCCATGGCTCCCCTCTCAGTCCTAATGCTCAGCCCCAGTCGCCTCCTGGGAGCTGCCCTGCCTTGAATTAAAGACGCTGAATTCATGCCCTCCCTGTCCTCACTCATTTCTACCAAATCTACACTTTGGAGCCCAGCTGGGCGGCATGCTCAGCATCAGGCTTTGCTCTGCAGAAATGTGGTCAGCCCTAGGTGCAAGAAAACAGGCTCCAGCCTGTGATGGGGGTTGTGGGAAGCTGAGGCCACCTTTACACAATAATCATCATGATGATAACAGATACTGTTGTTTTCCTGCTTTCTACCTTTCAAGCAGTCTGCTAAGCTGTTTACATGTATTATCTTATTCATATAAGCTACACAAGTGTAATACTAAGAGCTATC